TGGAGAGGAATCATGGAAATAGCTCCAAGAAAGACTATAGAACCAGGTCTTCTAGAGGAATAATCTCTCTTGCGAGACCTCTACTAATGGAAGCATATTCAGTGCGAAGAAAGCCAGTTCTAGGACCCTAGGTGATGCGACTGCGTCTTTTACCTTTGCGCAAAAGCGGGTATAAAATAGAAAACAGTTAATGAACGCTAACTCGGAAACGTGAAGAAGTGAGGATCGTCAGCCCAACCAGCACTAGGAAAGTGGTGAGGTAGAACCACCGCAAGAAGTCATCTGACGACTCAAGGTTAGCGCGTAAGCATGACCCTCTCTTTTGGGAGGGTTCCTCTTCGTCTTCTTAGCCTTGCCCATTCCACCACCTAATGGCGCGAGTGCACCTCCTGGACACCTGCCAAGGTTTCTGCCCCATTACTTTCGCTGTGAATGAGTTTCTTGCACGACGCCAGACCCAAGGTCTCACAAGTGTGACGAAGATTCCTGCGTATTCTTGTCACCGTCAAAACTGCACGAAAATTGTCGGAAAAATTACACATTGTGCGTGGCGCCTCGTTGCGATTGCCATGTGAATAGGTTTTCCTTGCTAGAAAATGAACGCTTAATGAACGAACTGAATAAATTAATGGGAGAGGTGACAAAACCGAAAATCTTCGTGTGTCGGTGACTGTGATAGACGCTAAGACCATCTCGCCTATGCGCACCACTACTACGAAGCAACACAGGAGAAAGTCCGCAACTGCACACACCGTACACCACCGTGACAACAACAACTGCTCACCTGCCACGTGAATCCCGAGTATTCATGAACTTGTAGGTAGTGGTGATAGCACAGATAAACGCTATGGCCCAGCAGAGTGTGCCCATAACGTGCAGGTAGAATGCATAGCCAATTTGTTGCTGAAATCCAAAGAAATTGAACTGATCGATAAAATAAGTGTCATGATTACTGTGTTTGAACAATAATATAGTCCGTGGGTGAGGTAGCACTACCGTACCACTATGCTCGATTTGCAAAATGTGAGCGTAGTTTATCATATTCATTAGGCGTCACCACCGAATACGTATCCTGGCTGCTTGAGAAGGCTCACCACATGGATGAGGTCAGGGCAACCTAGGACCGACGGGAGTGGAGTGTTACTTCCGAATCGCGGCGGACTAGCAGAGTATTTCCTAGGCCGTTGACTGACACAGACATAGTGAAAGAGGTCGACTTGAGAGGCGCAGATAGAGTTGAGGAAGTAACCGTAGCCTTCCTCCTGGTTTTATTGCAGTACAGAGCGTAATCGGTGTACAGACAGTGTCTCTGAATAATCACGATGAACTGCTTTTCAACTGTAAATAAAACCAGGCGTTAGGTCATAGTAGCCTTTTGGGGCGCACAGTTGTCGCTGTGGGTGATTAAGGAGTAGCCTTACATCATCACGAGCGCCGTTCAAAGAATTCTTAGTATCGAGGTAATTTAGCAGTAACGAAGAAATTCAAATCATTTCAATAGGTAACGACACTCCCTGAGGGTATAAATACAAAATTTCATTTAGTTATCACCAGTTCAAGTTATCCTCGGTGAAAGAAGACTGATGCGACAATGTTCAGAAAATGATTACCGGTGAAAAAAATTGAGAAAAATGAAAAGAAAAACGAGGAAATGAAAAGAAGATTGAGAAAATGATTACTGATTACTTCTTGTTCCCCAAACCAAAAAAAGACCTTCGTGGAAAGCGTTTTTCTGACGATGAAGAGCTGAAGGCGGCAATTAGCGCACATTTTGGGGACAAGGAGGAAAA